ATGTATACAGAAAAGCAAAAAAATCTTTCTATAGTAGAAAGCAAAACAGACCAAGCACAGATACTTTGTTTTTATTAAAATTAAATAGAGCAAGCAAACATACAGTGCAGGGACTTTGAAAAAAGAGAAGTGAGGAAGAGAAAAAGAATAAAACAAATAGTGGTGCTCCAAGCTTGTTTCTTGGTACTCCCTCCGTCCCAAAATATTAGGCCCTTTTCAAAAATCAAGGACAAAAATAATATGAATTTCCTATTTTGCCCTTCTTTTAAATTTATTATAAAAAGTACAATTATGACAATTGATATTCCCTAAAAAATGTACTATCAAAGGGTAATTTTAGAAAATCAATTTTTTTAAAGTGCAATAATTGTACTACCAAAAAAAGTTGAATTCCCCAAAAGGGACTATTATTTTGGGACGGAGGGAGTATAATATACACAAGAACCAAACCAAACCAAACTAAGCTTTGTGTCCCAACACAATACACACAAGAAGCAGAAAAATATATGTAATTCATCAACAGGTTACACGGATGTCATGATTCATGATATGGTGTATAGGAACCTACATTAGGTTTTTTTTTAAAATAAAAAATAAAAAGCTGCCAAAAGTAAGATAAGGCGCAAAATTCTTCCATTCTATAGGGGAATACATATAGAGGCGAGAAAGGAGATACAAAAGTAATCCAATGAATGCACAATAGACCTATTGCGCTAAACAAATAATCAGCAAAATATTGTAAAGGCAGTATGATACCAATGAGTTGCTAGCAACAGGTTCGTCACCAATAAGGGAATTTTGGTCATGACAGAAAACCCTTTGCTTTTTCTCATCCAAATTGAGAACTAAATTCTATTAAGCTACAGAGTACAAAACATCCCATAAATGACAGGACCAAATAACAGATTAGAATTGTGTTCTTTCTGTGCCCAATTACTCAACTCACTTCAACAAAAATTTCCCTATTACATGTGGTCGGATACATGGTCATTTCCCCTAGCTGGCAATATTTTAAGTCATATCCTCAGATAATTCTAAATCAATTATGTCTTTTCTTATCATCTCAACCCATCTCCTCCTGGGCCTTTTACTTATTTTACCACTCAATGTGGATCAAATAAGTCCTCCTTACATGTGCGTATGTTGGTCCAGGTTGCACATGCTTATTTAATGCACATTAGTTTCATACCCATGCAATGTGGGACTCCTGCTTCATACCATCTTAAACAGCCGCCTAATCACCCAGCCCGCCCAATCCGATCACATTACGGATGATTTCGCCAATCCTATTGTCGGCAACGGTTGAGATTCTCAAAATTTATTTGAATTTGAGTCGGACATCGAGGAAAATTTATTTTTTCTCAAATTGCCTTATAAGGTATAGCAATCCAACCAACTCTAATTCTTTCTATGAGCCACATTTTCCTCAATCTTTATGAATAATTGACTCAAAACATCAGAAATTGACCACTCTTGGGTACCACTTACCCCTCCTCAAGTGTTACTTGATATTTACCTTTATTTCTAACTTCGCTATAATTGCATTCCAAATAATTTGTTTTGGTCCTATTTAACCTAAAACCTTTAGATTCAATAGTGTCCCCCACAATTTTAACCTAAGAGTTTACCCCACTTATTTGTCAACTAAATCATATTATTTGCATACTATCCCATGCATGTTGAACATCAAATGTGCCCTGACATGTTTGGTCACCAAGTCAGCAACGACCGTGAAGTTTCTTTATATCCAATTAACTTCGGAATATGCATAATGTGTAGAATAGAACTCATAATCTACTACTCAACATGTCTAAATATTTTTCCTACACTGAGATATTGAATGGTCTAAATATTGCTAATTTGGTTCTTACTATGTAATTGTGCAACGTATTAGTTTTCATGCATGTTTAGGAGGTGAGAGCCAGTCAAGGAGGTGGTCAGTTACTAGAATTATCAGCAAGTTAAATTCCTTGAGCCTGTGTTTGGATCATAGATTTGGGTAGGAGTTTGGAAAAAGAAAGGGAAAAAGGTGGGTGCAATGTGGCAATATTTCATTCACATTTCACTAACTTGTACCCTTTCCCTTTCCCTTTCCCTTTCCAAATCCCTACCCAAATCCATGATCCAAACACAACCTAAAATAAACTTTGATGATTGAAACCAGCAAATAGGTGGGTTGATCCTTACATTACTGTAACACAATCCCTTTTTAGGCAGTCCATCAAACAAGTTAACTGTCAACAAGACATCATTTCCAATAAGTCATAACCACCCTTATTTATAATGGAACAGGTGGCCCATGAGACATCATTTTAGAGCTCAAAACCAATTCGTATAAAGAAGTGGCATTTGAATATTCAGGTATGCTAAAGTCTTTTGCTAAGAAGATGCTCTTACTTCAATTTGCCGGTGCTGCTCCTTGCATTCTTGAGTAATAGCTTCATGTACTGAGTCACTAAATCATGCAGAAAATAGAATTATCAAATACTAATATACCCCACCAGAAAACCATAATAAATTGACGACGTATACCTTGAATGGAGTTTCTGAAGAAGCGCAGGCAGATGCCGGGGTTGCTGATTCAGAACTTGTAGTGGCCAATTTTCTGGCCCAACTGTGGATGGAGAAACATTGTCTCCTTGTCCATGACTTCTGTCAATTGCTTCTTCATAAGTTTTAAATTGATCCATTCCACCAGGTTGCAAGCGGGCTAGTTCAAGATCCACCTGAACATCAAGCCATGACTTGGCCATCGCCCAACATGCTGACTGCAAAAGCATTGGAAGTTAATTTCCAAAATAACTATAAACTACAGAAGTAACAAGGCAAGAAAATGAGAAGAAATGAAGATCAACGCAACTAAAACTCGCAAGAAATATTGCAAAGGGAGCGGCTAAACCTCAAGATTTGAGCCATTTAAACAAATTACGTATTTAAACTACGAATCAAAATTCACTGCCTCAAGCTCTAAACTTAACACACTGCTTATTCACAGAACTTGATTACGTTGTCTACTAGTATAGTATGAGAAAGTATTCATGACAATGGAGAGCAAGCATAAACAACAATACAATGTGGTTGTTGTGAAGGCAAATGTGTGGCTTGATCGTTATTTTTCTCCCTTCAAAAAGGGGGGTGTTTATTGGAATGGTACTCTAGACCTCATAATGGCTAAAATAACACTAAGGCCTCGTTTGGGAACTTGGTTATTTTAGTTGGCTTTTTGGCTTTTTGGCTATTTTATGAGATGAAAAAAAAGTTGTGTTTGTGATGATTTGTAGATTTTTTTGTAGTTGAATAGATGGTTGAGAAAAAAGTGATTGATTGATGTGTAGGATGTGACATTTTGTCTTATTGCCTATTTTAGCCCTTTTTGTCTTTATAGGCTATTTTATCCCCAACCCTTTTTCCCAAGCAGGGCCCAACTCTATTATCCAGTCATGGCCAAATACAGCTTGTCAAGAGAGGGCCTTGGAAGTTTCTTACCCCTTCACAGAAGGTGCTTCTTGTAAAGTATAAGCTTCTAGTTCTAAAGTATCTCCCTACAACCAAAGCAGAAGTTAAATAAAATTGTGCCTTGTTGAAAATTATTGAAAATCTCAACATGGTTTGAAGATTGGGATTAGATAAGATGTTGGTCAAGCGGTATCAAATAGGATTGGGAAGAACTACGGTATATAGAGGTGCCTTAGATGTTGCATAGCTGAGCTTTTATCTTTTCTGTATAATCTCAGTATACATAAGTTGAGCCTTAAGGCTGTGAACCAAGCTATTATTGCGAAAATTGTAGAATACAACCACTAAGAAAACTTGGAAGTTTCAAATAGCATTTTATGTGCTTGGTAGTTGTGGTTAAGTGAGGTTAGAGGTGGTCGGTTATGAACCTTTGGGAAAATGACGGGCACTTAACTTGATTCTATGCTTTAAAACTGTAACTCTTTCAATTTTAATAAATCATTAAGTATCATCAGTTGTTCCTTCTTAGCTCGAGTGCTTTCTCCTACCGCTGGTGCAAGTATCTTACTTATCAAAACGAATATGAAGACGAATTGTTCTACTGTATCATCTTTATATGTGCTTTCAAATGATAATTGCAAATGAACATGACATAGCTGGACTCTCTACCTTGATAACTCTTGAGGACAAACAACAAAACAAAAGGCACAAATCAAAATAATAGACACATGTAAAATACTATTGTCCAACTCTAACCATGTTAAAAAGATAACTCCATTTTGACAATCAATTATTTTAGGTATTACTATCTATTAATAAGCATGGCTTAGAAATGCTTACATATGAAGAATGAGGTCACCAACAGTCATGATCTTCTCTCTGAAAGCATCCTTCATTTGTTCCACAAGTAAGTATCTAAGAACAAGAACCAAGTGTGCACCAAAACGAATCATCTGAGGATCACCATGAGGCCTGAGAGAAAGAAAAAAGCACATCCAGCTCAATGACACAAGTATCCCATGCTCAGGCGGATGAATGTTTATATAACAAATAGTGTTTAAGTAAACACGGATGCATGCATGCATGTGCACGGTATGTTCTTCACTTTTATTTTATAAAAATAAAAAAAAAATGAAATTTATAAAATAAAAGTGAAGAACAAGTTCCAAACATAGTCCATAGTGAAACAGAATGCTACTTGGAATGCCAGTAAGAAACATCAACAGAGTTATTTTTAAGATGTTTTCCTTTCAAGCATTTGGCACTATTTCAACCACCTAATCATGGTCTAGCTTTCAAATGGATCAACACAAAGCTGTGAATGACGACTGCGATTTATATATCTATTTCGTTAATCACAACAAGAATATAACAAATATAACAGGTGGCCACAAATTTGAAGGACCATAACAAGTTATATGCACACGAACATCAAAAAGAAAACAAAGGTTTGTATCTCTAACTTTAAATGCAGATAAAAAGTACAAATTCACCTGAAGACGTTTTCCTCATCTTCGGATGGTGATATCCATGACCATATAACGTCTAGCAGATGCGGTATATCTCCCATCATAAGATTCATCTGGACATCAATGATCAGTAAGAGAAGACTGGCCAATGACATGTTATTCAAAACCGCGGAAACTAAAACAATTGCCACATTTGCTGATGTATACAGAAAAGCAAAAAAATCTTTCTATAGTAGAAAGCAAAAAAGACCAAGCACAGATACTTTGTTTTTATTAAAATTAAACAGAGCAAGCAAACATACAGTGCAGGGACTTTGAAAAAAGAGAAGTGAGGAAGAGAAAAAGAATAAAACAAATAGTGGTGCTCCAAACTTGTTTCTTGGTACTCCCTCCGTCCCAAAATATTAGTCCCTTTTGGGGAATCCAACTTTTTTTGGTAGTACAATTATTGCACTTTAAAAAAATTGATTTTCTAAAATTACCCTTTGATAGTACATTTTTTAGGGAATATCAATTGTCATAATTGTACTTTTTATAATAAATTTAAAAGAAGGGCAAAATAGGAAATTCATATTATTTTAGTCATTGATTTTTGAAAAGGGACTAAATGTACTATCAAAGGGTAATTTTAGAAAATCAATTTTTTTAAAGTGCAATAATTGTACTACCAAAAAAAGTTGAATTCCCCAAAAGGGATTATTATTTTGGGGCGGAGGGAGTATAATATACACAAGAACCAAACCAAACCAAACTAAGCCTTGTGTCCCAACACAATACACACAAGAAGCAGAAAAATATATGTAATTCATCAACAGGTTACACGGATGTCATGATTCATGATATGGTGTATAGGAACCTAAATTAGGTTTTTTTTTTTAAATAAAAAATAAAAAGCTGCCAAAAGTAAGATAAGGCGCAAAATTCTTCCATTCTATAGGGGAATACATACAGAGGCGAGAAAGGAGATACAAAAGTAATCCAATGAATGCACAATAGACCTATTGCGCTAAACAAATAATCAGCAAAATATTGTAAAGGCAGTATGATACCAATGAGTTGCTAGCAACAGGTTCGTCACCAATAAGGGAATTTTGGTCATGACAGAAAACCCTTTGCTTTTTCTCATCCAAATTGAGAACTAAATTCTATTAAGCTACAGAGTACAAAACACCCCATAAATGACAGGACCAAATAACACAGATTAGAATTGTGTTCTTTCTGTGCCCAATTACTCAACTCACTTCAACAAAAATTTCCCTATTACATGTGGTCGGATACATGGTCATTTCCCCTAGCTGGCAATATTTTAAGTCATATCCTCAGATAATTCTAAATCAATTATGTCTTTTCTTATCATCTCAACCCATCTCCTCCTGGGCCTTTTACTTATTTTACCACTCAATGTGGATCAAATAAGTCCTCCTTACATGTGCGTATGTTGGTCCAGGTTGCACATGCTTATATAATGCACACTAGTTTCATACCCATGCAATGTGGGACTCCTGCTTCATAACATCTTAAACGGCCGCCTAATCACCCAGCCCGCCCAATCCGATCACATTACGGATGATTTCGCCAATCCTATTGTCGGCAACAGTTGAGATTCTCAAAATTTATTTGAATTTGAGTCGGACATCGAGGAAAATTTATTTTTTCTCAAAATGCCTTAAAAGGTATAACAATCTAACCAACTCTAATTCTTTCTATGAGCCACATTTTCCTCAATCTTTATGAATAATTGACTCAAAACATCAGAAATTGACCACTCTTGGGTACCACTTACCCCTCCTCAAGTGTTACTTGATATTTACCTTTATTTCTAACTTCGCTATAATTGCATTCCAAATAATTTGTTTTGGTCCTATTTAACCTAAAACCTTTGGATTCAATAGTGTCCCCCACAATTTTAACCTAAGAGTTTACCCCACTTATTTGTCAACTAAATCATATTATTTGCATACTATCCCATGCATGTTGAACATCAAATGTGCCCTGACATGTTTGGTCACCAAGTCAGCAACGACCGTGAAGTTTCTTTATATCCAATTAACTTCGGAATATGCATAATGTGTAGAATAGAACTCATAATCTACTACTCAACATGTCTAAATATTTTTCCTACACTGAGATATTGAATGGTCTAAATATTGCTAATTTGGTTCTTACTATGTAATTGTGCAACGTATTAGTTTTCATGCATGTTTAGGAGGTGAGAGCCAGTCAAGGAGGTGGTCAGTTACTAGAATTATCAGCAAGTTAAATTCCTTGAGCCTGTGTTTGGATCATAGATTTGGGTAGGAGTTTGGAAAAATAAAGGGAAAAAGGTGTGCGAAATGTTGCCATATTTCAGTCACATTTCACTAACCTGTACCCTTTCCCTAACTTGTACCCTTTCCCTTTCCCTTTCCCTTTCCAAATCCCTACCCAAATCCATGATCCAAACACAACCTAAAATAAACTTTGATGATTGAAACCAGCAAATAGGTGGGTTGATCCTTACATTACTGTAACACAATCCCTTTTTAGGCAGTCCATCAAACAAGTTAACTGTCAACAAGACATCATTTCCAATAAGTCATAACCACCCTTATTTATAATGGAACAGATGGCCTGTGAGACATCATTTTAGAGCTCAAAACCAATTCGTATAAAGAAGTGGCATTGGAATATTCAGGTATGCTAAAGTCTTCTCCTAAGAAGATGCTCTTACTTCAATTTGCCGGTGCTGCTCCTTGCATTCTTCAGTAATAGCTTCATGTACTGAGTCACTAAATCATACGGAAAATAGAATTATCAAATACTAATATACCCCACCAGAAAACCGTAATAAATTGACGACGTATACCTTGAATGGAGTTTCTGAAGAAGCGCAGGCAGATGCCGGGGTTGCTGATTCAGAACTTGTAGTGGCCAATTTTCTGGCCCAACTGTAGATGGAGAAACACTGTCTCCTTGTCCATGACTTCTGTCAATTGCATCTTCATAAGTTTTAAATTGATCCATTCCACCAGGTTGCAAGCGGGCTAGTTCAAGATCCACCTGAACATCAAGCCATGACTTGGCCATCGCCCAACATGCTGACTGCAAAAGCATTGGAAGTTAATTTCCAAAATAACTATAAACTACAGAAGTAACAAGGCAAGAAAATGAGAAGAAATGAAGATCAATGTAACTAAAACTCGCAAGAAATATTGCAAAGGGAGCGGCTAAACCTCAAGATTTGAGCCATTTAAACAAATTACGTGTTTAAACTACGAATCAAAATTCACTGCCTCAAGCTCTAAACTTAACACACTGCTTATTCACAGAACTTGATTACGTTGTCTACTAGTATAGTATGAGAAAGTATTCATGACAATGGAGAGCGACAAGCATAAAAAACAATACAACGTGGTTGTTGTGAAGGCAAATGTGTGGCTTGATCGTTATTTTTCTCCCTTCAAAAAGGGGGGTGTTTATTGGAATGGTACTCTAGACCTCATAATGGCTAAAATAACACTAAGGCCTCGTTTGGGAACTTGGTTATTTTAGTTGGCTTTTTGGTTTTTTGGCTATTTTATGAGATGAAAAAAAAGTTGTGTTTGTGATGATTTGTAGATTTTTTTGTAGTTGAATAGATGGTTGAGAAAAAAGTGATTGATTGATGTGTAGGATGTGATATTTTGTCTTATTGCCTATTTTAGCCTTTTTTTGTCTTTATAGGCTATTTTAGCCCCAACCTTTTTTCCCAAGCAAAGCCCAACTCTATTATCCAGTCATGGCCAAATACAGCTTGTCAAGAGAGGGCCTTGGAAGTTTCTTACCCCTTCACAGAAGGTGCTTCTTGTAAAGTATAAGCTTCTAGTTCTAAAGTATCTCCCTACAACCAAAGCAGAAGTTAAATAAAATTGTGCCTTGTTGAAAATTATTGAAAATCTCAACATGGTTTGAAGATTGGGATTAGATAAGATGTTGGTCAAGCGGTATCAAATAGGATTGGGAAGAACTACGGTATATAGAGGTGCCTTAGATGTTGCATAGCTGAGCTTTTATCTTTTCTGTATAATCTCAGTATACATAAGTTGAGCCTTAAGGCTGTGAACCAAGCTATTATTGCGAAAATTGTAGAATACAACCACTAAGAAAACTTGGAAGTTTCAAATAGCATTTTATGTGCTTGGTAGTTGTGGTTAAGTGAGGTTAGAGGTGGTCGGTTATGAACCTTTGGGAAAATGACGGGCACTTAGTGGCTTGAGAGCACTGGAGGTGGAGGAAGAGAAGACCAAAGTAGGCCTAGAGATGGGGGCGTGCAGTGAAAGACCTTGAACACTTGGAGCATGTTTGGTACAAAAGAATGGAATGAGTGTGGGAATGGAATGCAAGGTTGAATAGAATGGAATGTTCATTCTCATTCCATTGTTTGGTTGCCAACATGAAATGACATAGAAATACAATGATAATTCTTATTCTCATGTTTTGTTATGCCTTTAAATTAATGGAATAGAATATTTTTTATTTTTTCAATTTTTTTTATTTATTATTATTATTATTATTTTTATTTTTAACAAGCTAGTAACAAACAAGTTAAAAATTCATATAGATTATGATAGTTGTGGAAAGGATGGTGTGAGTGGTGTGGTATTGGTGGCGGCATCAGTGGTTGTGATGGTATTAGGATGGTGGCAGTAGGTCACTATGACGGTAGTGGTGGTAAGCTAGTGTTGTGGTGTTTGTGGAGGTGGTGGTGTTGGTTGTGGTGGCGACAGTGGTGGTGGCAGGTAGTGGTAGTAGAGTGGTGGTTCTCACGATAATGGTAATGTGATTTTTGTAAAAATGGTGATAGTGGTGGTAAGGTAATGGTTGTGGCGGTGACGATGGTGGTGGTGGTGGGTAGCAGTAGTAGAGTGGTGGTTCTTGCGATAATGGTGGTGGTCGTATGCTTTTTGTTAAAAGTGGCAGTAAGGTAATGGTTCAAGCAGCAGAGGCAGTGGCGATGATAGAAGCGAAAGTAGTAGGGTAGTGATTCTAACGATGGTGGTAGTGATTGTGGAGGTGGTGGTTGTAGCGGTGGTAGTTGGGGTGATGGCGGCGGCAGCGACGACAGCGACAACGGCGATGGCGGTAATAGGGTGGCGGCGGTGGTGGTTGTGGAGGTAGTGGTAGTGGTTGTGGTTGTGGTGGCGACGGCGGCAGTGGTGGTGGTGGTTGTGGTGGCAATAGGGGTGGTGGTGGCGGTGTAGGATTGTGGAATGGGTGGTAGCGAAAGAGAATGGTGGTGATAACTAAATAATAATATTTTATTTTTTTTAAGTATAAAAAAATAATAAAAATTTATGGTGATTTCATGATGGAATGAAATGATCATTCCTTAGGTTGGAGGAAGGAATAGGCATTCTCACATTTTGTTGAAATAGCCATTCCAATGGAATGACTATTGCCACTTAGATAAGATGTACCAAACAAGGGAAAGGGAATGCAGAGTTAGAATAGACATTCAATTCTAGCCCATTCCATCGTACCAAATGTGCTATTTGTGTTTTCTTGTGGCCAGGATGTTGGATTGGGACTCAAGTATTGTGCCATCCGCATGGAAAATAGCTTACTGAATTTGGATCAATTGGTTATATTCGGAATATTCAACATAAAACATTATGGGAAAATAATTTCTTAATTTTTTGTTCATCCATAAGCCAAAAAAAAATGAAAATTATTATTTATTTTTCTCTTAAAAATGAAAGTCATTTGTGGACTGATGTTTGTCTATACACTGTAAATATGAAAATTTCTTTTACAAAAATGTTTTACTTCCAAACAAATGGAGAGTTGGTGTGATTGTCACCAATTTTTCTCTTCT